TTCTGGAACAGTTCAGGCATGTTTTGTGAACAAGGAAAGAAAGTGTTGGGCGAGTCTTCAATCTTCCTAAACTCCTTCCATCCCCATCAGTTCACCGATCTTGCTGTCCATCACAAATATAAGTTTTGAAATCCCCTGGTTAATTGTTGAGAGGTTTTCCCTCTGAGATGCAGGGAAACACCACATCCTCCTTGTGCAAATTCTCTCCATGCACTCTGTGATAAAAACACATGAAAAATCCTTTGTCCAAATATTTTTTTAAATGCCACAAAACTTTTCCTTTGATAGTAATTTGTATACAACTAAATTGCATTCTTTGGGGGAAGGGAGAAATATTTTTCCCTTTTTTGTCTGGCAGCATTAATCTCCTTATCCAAGGTTTATCCTACCTCAGTACTGAACACTGTGAGTAACACTGAGGTTGCAATTCATTCTCATCAGCCTCTGACAAGGTGTGGTTACTGCAGGGACAGTTCTGGCACAGGGCACAGTGAGTTCCCCTGCACCCCCTCACAGCCTGCTCTGGACACGGTTGTATCTCCAGAGCCCTTCTAAAAAACAGAGTACTTGGGACAGCAAAAATGCCTCTCAAAGCCCCTTTTAATGTCACTTAAGAGCCATGGAAGGAAAAGCAGCAGAGTTACAGTGATTTCTCATCACTGCCACACTCTGCCGTAACCAAAAGGAATTTGTTTATTCCGTACCAACACATAACTGAGTCCAGTCCTTCAGCTGTTGAGGTTAAAGGCCAGATTTCCTGGAATTCTAGTAAAAATATGACCATCTCAATTCTCATAAATCCTTTTGGGGAGTAAAGATATAAAAATACAGTGCTCTTGTTCATGGAGCTGGATTTTTATATTAATTTTTTTAACTATTTAAGACATAGTCTACCTTCAGTTGCTTGTGGACTGGAGTAAACTGAAAATCTCCCACATGCTATTCATGAGCTTGTAAATCTCTTAAGGTAAAACTCAGCTGAAATTGCTGTTGTCTTTCCTGAGTCATCTTCCCAGTATCTTGGCCAGAATCAGTGATGGCTGAATGACATTTCTTTGGATCCCTTCAGTGAGAGGAAGATACCTGCATTCCCTGAATCATAACTTTCTCACTTGGAATTTTTTAGGCTCAGCATTTTTATATTTTTTTATATTCTGCATTTTTCAGATTAAATATACGACTTTTCCCCCTCATGTCTCATTTTCTTAAAGAAACCTTAGTGTAAACACTATTCTGTTGATAGAAAAGTACCTTACAGGGATGTTTGGCTTCTCTTCCCATCCAAAATACACTGTGCCTGTACAAAGCACCATTATAGTAATAGAAATATGACCACAATTAGGGTTTGACATGTTTATTACACTAGCAAAATTTAAAGTTGTATGTTGATAATTTTTTAATGTGAATTAGGCCTGTTAATGTCTCATCTACTAAAGGAGATGAGTGAATATTACTCAATTTTATAAGTTTATCTCAGCATTGCCAATAAAACAATAAAATCAATGTGTAGAAATAGTACAAGTGAACACATTTGGTCTACAATTCTTCAAATTTGATGCAAAAAAATGACATATTTCTGGAGATGAGATTACTGTAGGTGTTTAAATCTGGTGGCCATCAAGCCTTTCAGACTTGTTCCATCAGAGAGTTTATTTGCAACATTACAAAGCAAACATTGCCTTTCATTTTGCATTACAAAACAAGCATTTCAAGGGAATGAAAGATGAAGCACTCCTAGGGAAAGGTGTTTTTAAACTTTTTAATATTTTGATTTAGTTTACAGCCATTTGGAGGCTGAGTTACACATCTTTTATTCAAGTCATGGAAGCCAGGACAAATACCACATTGTATTTGATGTGATTGAACCTTCACTAAATGTTTCAGGAAGAGCTTTGAGAGCTCTCAGGCAGCATTTCCCTGCCCTGGCCCTTCCATCCTGTCGCTGGCTGCTCCTTGCAGGAGCCATCCCTCCTCAGACTGCTCTGAGATGAAATTGCACCCTGAGCTGCTGCTGGCTTGTAAACAAGAATGGCAATGACAAGAGGAGCTTTGTGCGCTGACATTCTGTCGTTTGCTGCACGTCAGGGGGAGCTATTTTAAGTGTCAGAACGTGCAACTGAGTCTATGATGTGAATGTGAAAAGTAGCCTCTCATTTCTGAGTCACTTTCATGTCTGTGTCAGGTTAGCTGCTAATTATCTGTCTAGAGCACAGGGCAAAATAGACTGCAGAATATTCACACTGGAAGGAGGTTTAGATTAGATATTGGAAACAAATTCTTTACTGTGAGGGTGGTGAGGCACTGGCACAGATTGCCCCATCTCTGGAAGTGTTCAAGGCCAGGTCTGATGGGGCTCTGAGGAGCCTGCTCTGTGCCCATGGCAGGGGTTTAGAACTGGATGGTCCTTAAGGTCCCTTCCCAAACCATTCTGTGAATCTGTGATTATAAAATTTCTTCATTTTCTCTCCCTAAATTTCTTCTTTTATATGAGTGGAGGATAAATAGGTAGAAATTAGTCCATCAATTTCACACACTGGCAAGCATGTTATTAATCTGATTTTATGCCTGTCTTCATGCCAGTGAGTCTCTCTGTGCTGCTGACCTATTGGAAATGAGAAACGTTTGTCTTCATGGAGAGTTCACAGTGCTGTCTGCAGGGGAAAACAGCCACAGCAGTGAGATCTCATTTCATTACACCCAGCAAGACAGAACCCCCAAACATGCAGCAAGAGATTATTTAAGTGTTTAGGTAGAAAAATATTCTAGAAATGCAAACAATATTGCTGTGTGGGTTTGCAGCTTTTACCTCCAGGTTTTGAGGGTGTATAGGGAGATGTGCAAATCTCTATGTGCTGTGGAAGAGTATCTGTGTTGCAAAGGCTGTTGATGGGAGAAAAGACATTTTATAAACTGTTGTCAAATTCAAATCATAAAATCCAGCAGAGGGTCCTTGAGTAGAAGCTTAAGCAATGGAGGTTCCTTTTTCATCTGGATTTGTGACAGACAAGTAGGGGACCAGACAAGTAGGGGACCTTTCTGCTCTTCTGATGTCTGAAATAGCACCAGAATTGTCAGAGCCATCAGATCCTCAGCAAAGCACTCAAGTGAATGCCACATTCTGCATTTTGCAGGGGTTGCCCCAGGAAGTCACTTGTACTTTTGGGCTGAGTCTTACAATCCATATTTCTGTGCTTTCTTTAGTGGGTTTGTCCCTTCCGTGTGCGTTTTACCTGTTTAAACCTGTTCAGTCTCTAATGTGTGTTTCCTCCTTCATCCTCACATTCTCTGCTTCTCCCTGCACTTCTTGCAGCCCTGGCACCTCCTTGCTGCAATGTTGCATCTCAGGGGGGGTTTCAGAACATGCTCTTTCCCACTGCCCCCCAGCTGTTAATGGAACTTCACTGACAGGGATTTCCTTATTGTGGAAGTCAGAAGGCAACATCGACATCTCTTCGTTGCTCATGTATTTGAGGGTGCAGCTTGCACTGAAAGCACACCTAAATATCTGCCTGATTCTGTTCCTTTTTCATCTGGACTTGTGACAGACGAGTAAGGGACCTTTCTACTCTTCTGGTGTCTGAAACAGCACCAGAATTATCAGAGCCATCAGATCCTCAGCAAAGCACTCAAATGAATGCAACATTCCTGCATTTTGGAGGGGATGCCCCAGGAAGTCACTTGTACTTTTGGGCTGAGTCTTATAATCCACATTTCTTTACTTTCTTTAGTGGATTTTCCCTCCCATGCTTCTTGTGTGTTTTCCCTGTTGAAACCTGTTCAGTCTCTAATGTGTGTTTCCTCTTCCATCCTCATATTTTCTGCTTCCACCTGCACTTCCTTGCAGCCCTGGCTGCAAGGTTGCATCTCAGGGAGGGTTTCAGGACATCCTCTTTCCCACTGCCCGCCAGCTGTTAATGGAGCTTCAGCTGACAGGGATTTCCTTATGCTGGAAGTCAAAAGGCAGCATTGACATCTCTTAGTTGCTCATGTATTTGAGGGTGCAGCTTGCACTAAAACCACACCTAAATATCTACCTGATTCTGTCTGGGATATTCCAGCTGTAAAGTTGGTGGCTCTGTTGTTTCTAAAGGTGACATTTCAGATGGAGGAAGCTGATGGAACAAAGAATGGGCAGGTGCCTGGCTCCTCTTGCTGGAACCCTGATGCTCATTTGACCTCTCAGTGAGCTGATTAAGCTGCCTATCCTAGAAAACAGCAAACATATCTAAAATTCTGGAAATATTTTATTTCTTTTTGTTCCCTGCCTAATTTTGTTCACTGGGAGATCAAATGAGCAGAACTGGTGAAAGGAAGGGGGAGAGAAGCACAGGGCTGGGAGGAGATGGGAGAGTAAGGAACAGAGGAAGGAAAGGGAACTGCCACTTCAAAGGGAGGTTGCTGTTGAAGATCAATAAACTATTGGGCCTAAGATTAAGCTTTTTCACCCTTCCCTTGTGAAGAGCTCTCCTGAGATTTCTTTTATTTTACAAAAGTTATTTTGAAATAGTAGAGGCACTTTTTTCTGTCCTTGCTCAAAGTGTAAAATAAAAACAATGCTATACCAAATGGTACTTAGGCTTTTGAAATCTGGTGTTCTGAGATCAGTGGAGGGCTGTTGAAGGAGGAAATTAGAGGCTGGAACATCTCTTTTACAGGGAAAGGCTCAGGGAGCTGGGCCTGTTCAACCTGGAGAAGGGATGACTGAGAGGGCACCTCATTAATGTGTATAAATTAATCTAAAGGGGCAGTGGCAGGAGGGTGGACAGGCTCTGCTCTGTGGTGCCCAGAAACAGGACAAGAGGGAATGGGCAGAACTGATGCCCAGGAAGTTCCACCTGAACATGAGGAGGAACTTCTTCCCTGTGCAGTGACAGAACTGGGACAGATTGTCCAGAGAGCTGTGGAGTCTCCCTCCCTCTCTGGAGCTATTCCAGAGCCATCTGGACACAATCCTGTGCTGTGTGCTCTGGGATCCTGCTGGAGCAGGGGGTTGGACCTGGTGACCCACTGTGCTCCCTTCCAGCCTGACCCATCTGTGATTCTGTGAAGGCTGATACTAAAATCTCTTCTTGGCTTCACAAAGGTTCCTGCTGCACTGGCCCATCCTGAGTCTGGAGTCTGAGTTTAGTCACTGTTCCTCCTGAGGACCAGCAGCTGCTGTGGCATGAGGCACCTGCCACCACACTGTGGGACATTTCCTGATGTGCTCCTGCTGTTTCCATGATGTCACCTAAATATCATGGAACAAAAGAAGAAAGCTTTGTTTCCAGTCAGTAGTGAAGGTGGCTGGAAAAAAGAGTTAGAGAGAATAAAAGCAGATTATCTGGAGGAAAGATCTGAGGTAGCTAATCACAAAACAATCTACAGCTGAGCAGTAGGAGTACTCAAACACCTGGAACCAAATCTGGTGTTTCAGGAGACTGCCAGGGTTGTGTATCTACGCAAGCTTTTGTGTGGGGCTCAGCACAGGCAGCCAGGCACTGGCTTTGGGGAACCAGTTCTTGTCTCCTGTGGCTGTTCCTACTGCTGCCTCTTCAGTTATGCCAATGCAGTAGTTCCTGATGTGGTTCACTATAAAAATCAACCAGCATTTGGAAAGAATTAATGTTGGGTGTTTATTTATTGTCTGTTCTGCTATGTCACACGGGCCTGCAAATATTTGTACTGGCACAGCTGAAGGAGGAGTGACCTGCAGTGTGCAGGTAAGGTGAACACAAGAGAGCAGGGATGACTTGGATCAACTTTGTTATTGAAAAGTATTCATGTAGTGAAATTTTAACACATTGACTCGGGTATTCTTTGGGTTGATGGTTTTTTTCTACTTCTAAATATTTCAGGCTTTCACATGATCTGGGTAAATGTCTTGAAATGGCCCTGTGAAACAGTTCTAGTGGTTTTGTGCTATTGTTTGTTTAATTTCTGCCTGTTGTGTCTAAAGGCTATTAAGCTGAAAGTCAAGCCCTTGAATTAGGAAATACCAGGATTAAAGCTGCCTTTGGAGGATTGATTTGGTCCCTTGCCATTTGTGTGCATTGCAGCCTTGGTTACTGTTAAAGTGACAGAGTTAAATTGCACCATGAGTGACTGCAGGGATGTTTGTGTCTGCGGTGTTTCATGGGATGAATTGAAGTTGTTGTAGGAATGAAGAAGGAAACTGTGGCCAGAAGGATGGGTGACTGCTGGATTCTGCTTTAGTCCTGCAGATTTTACACCACTCTCTGCTGGTTACACTGCACTGCTGGGTTATGTGGGCAGAGGGACACATAGTAATTACATGGTGTTTACTCTGCCAGTTTGAAAAACACAAGGGCAAAGCAGATTAAAATGAAAGATCTTAAAATATTTCAAAACATTTGACTAATACTCTATTTCCACTGTGTCCTTGAAGTGTGGGTTGTGCAGCAGCTTCTGTTGGGTGTCTCATCACCACAGTTAGAGTTTCCTAAGCTCTGTTATCTGCTACCTCCATTTACCTTCTGCAACTTGCATCCCAGAGGAATCACTTGAGTTTGCAAATTCACTTTCTTCCAGGTGAAGGGAAAGATGTTCTCCTGGAGCTCTTAAAACTCTGTAATTGTTAATGGCTGCTCAGACCATGAAACTGGACTAGGGCCAGCCACACTCTGCCACTTTAAATTGCAGTGGCATCCACAAAGGAGGAGGGCAATGAACCTCCATCCTTACACCCCCACCTCCATCCTCCCAGTGTTCTTCAGTAAAACATAGAAAGCAAAGCAAACCAGATTGCTTTCTCAGTTTGAGATTGACTGCACTGCTTTTTATAGATGGAGGTGTGGGGGAATTATGCATTATAGCTATCGAAGGTGAATTAAGGATAAATTAGTGTTTATGAAATGACACTGCAAGGCACTGAAATACTCAGTAAAGACTGATCTGATGAAGAAACAGCATTCTGATTTTGCTGTTGCCATGTCACTATGAACTCATTTGGTATTTTTAGGTTTAGAAGTGGTAGCTCAGTCCTTGATATGATCAGTGCCCTGAGACACTGCATGCAGCATCCTTTAAGTAATTTCTCAATAAAACCAATTCAGACTTTGATCACTTATACCGATTAGTTTTAAGATTTACCATCCTCATTTGTTAACCATGGGGTTGTAGCTTCTTAGTACAGTTTTTTTATTTTGATAAACTTTACAGTTCTGCTTGTAAGCTGGTGAACAGAGAAACCTTTTTGTTGTAGTTGCATATATCATGTACAAATGAAACTAAAAACTAGTTTCTCAAATAAGCTGTAAAAGTAAGAGAATTGCTTTTAATAGATCCTGATTTGTTTTACAACCACCATGGAGGTAGTATAGAGAGTGTCCACGAAAAAATAAGAGAATATTGTTGATTTCTCTATGTGTGTTCTTGTGCACAGATATATAAATTACAGCTCCTGCCACTGAATTTATTTGTTTAACTTAAAACCTGGTTATCTTCTTCTGTTAAGCTCTCATCAGGAGCAGTATAGTGAGTTATCAAGACATATCCAGTATGGAATGGGCTGTGTTTTGAAGCACATGGATCATGGAGATTTCTGCACTGCAGCTTAATTTGTCCTTATTGTACTCTTGGATGCAGCCAAGGGCAACTGTTCCTCACATATATAGTTTGTGGGCATAAAGTGCTCTAATGCTAATGAATGAAACAGGGATTTCAGTTCTTTGATTGCTTTTCATCCTGAGCAAAGCAATGCAGGGGTACTTCAGTGAAAACTGACATTTCCCAGAAACCAGATCCTGGTTTTCCAAAATCCCATTTCCCAGAATTCAGTGCAGTTTCAAGTGGCACATACAGTTAGAAGTAGATATTAACAGCACTTATTAAGCATAAGTAAACACAATGAATTTACATTACAGACAATAATGCTGTTTCCTTCTCCCTTCCCAGTATTAATGCCCTTTCCATCATCCTATTAAAAGTGACAACAAAACCCCCTAAATTTGTGTAGTCAGCAGGAGACTGTCAGGGTTGCTTAGCCTCAGAAAGGTGAGTTGCTATCACTAAGCTTTATATACGTGATCCAAGAATCCAGAGTTTATCAGTCCAGTTGTCAAGATAGATCTTTATAAAGCTGAAGCAGAGAAAGAGATGATCAAGAGTGAAATGCTTGAAGTGTTCCTCCCTGTAGAGAGGTGTATTACAGGAAGAGAACACAGCCCATCCGTCCATCCATCCATCCATCCGTCCGTCCATCCATCCATCCATCCCGCAGTTAGTTAGGTGCAATATCCTTGGTGTAAGATTAGCAATTAAAAGGATTTTTGAAAGTGGGCAGATAAGCTGGTTCTTCCCATGCCTGTGCTTTTTTGGAGCTGCCAGTGGTGTTTCATTCCCAAGCTTTTCCTCCACACAAGCTGTTTCTTCAATTGCTGTTTGGTGCTGGTTGAGCCTGTTTGCAAAGTACAGGAGATGTGTTTGTATCTAACAGTTCATATAAGGCAACCTACAGCTTGTTGTTGTTGTTTGTTGTTTTTCAGGGACACCAGAATCATGGAGGGGCTCTTGCATTACATAAATCCAGCACATGCCATTTCCCTGCTGAGCACCCTGAACGAGGAGCGTCTCAAGGGACAGCTGTGTGACGTTGTGCTGATCGTAGGAGACCAGAAATTCCGAGCTCATAAGAATGTTCTGGCTGCCAGCAGTGAATATTTCCAGACTCTGTTCACAAATAAGGAGAATGAGTCTCAGTCAGTGTTTCAGCTCGACTTTTGTGAGCCAGATGCTTTTGATAATGTGTTGAACTACATTTATTCTTCATCCTTGTTCATTGAGAAAGGCAGCCTCGCAGCAGTGCAAGAACTGGGCTACAGCCTTGGAATATCTTTTCTTACAAACATTGTTTCCAAGAGTCCTCAAGCTCCTTTTCCTTCTTGTCCTATGAAAAAAATACTCTACCAAGATGAAGATGAAAGTAGTTCTCAGAAGAGAAGTGTCATTGTCTGTCAGAACAGAATTGAAGCACAAGCGAAAAGCGTAAATCAAACACAGCACGACTTAAGCCATACTCCTAAACCTTCACCCTCTGTGGCTGTCAAAGCTGGCAGCAGACCACAGGTAACAAAACCAACTGAAACCCTTCACAACTTATCACTGACTGAAAGGAGGTGGCTGAAAGAAGGCCCTGTGAGCTATACAAAGGTTCATGAAACTTCTGGAACTGTGGAGGATCAGAGCAGAGGTGCTTTAGTGAAAAGGAACATGGTGCTGCCTCAGATGTCTTTGGCAGAGAAAGAAATGGCAAGCGGCGAGCCAGGAAGCAGCGCTCAGCTTCTGAGAGGAAAGGTTGCAGAGATGTCATTGAAAAGACCACGTCCACCAGTCTTGTCTCTGCGTGGGGCAGCGGAATCCACGTTTCTGTTGCGAGAGGCAGGAAAAGGAAATGGTCAAGGGGAAGACAGGAATTTGCTCTACTACTCCAAGTTAGGGCTGGTAATCCCATCTAGTGGGTCTGGCCCAGAAAACCAAAGTATTGACAGAAGTGGGCCCCTTGTAAAAAGTCTCCTTCGAAGGTCACTTTCCATGGACAGCCAGGTTCCTATTTACTCACCTTCTGTTGACCTAAAACCTGCACAGGTATCCTCATGCTCCTCACCGGGAACTAACGATTCCCAGAAGACATTTAATGTTGCATCCCAAAAGTCATCCTCGAAAGAGTCATCGGAGAAGTCGGCCTTGGATGAGAAGCCACAGGTAATACACCCACATCGCCTTAGGTCTTTCAGTGCCTCTCAGACAACGGATCGGGAGGTGGCTTCTCCTCTCTCAGAGGTGAGGATCAAAACTGAGCCCAGCAGTCCCCTCTCAGATCCTGCTGACATCATCCGAGTCACGGTGGGTGATGCTGCAGCATCGGCAAACAAAGACTTTGCTTTTAAAACTGAGGATGATCGTAAGGAACTGAGCAGACTTCCAGCCAAAAGGAGGTTCCAGGATGATAGGAGGCCACCATTCAAGAAGCTGAAGGCGGATGAGCAGGGTTCTCCTGGCTCAGAAGAGAACTTTGAGGAAGGCTCGAGCCCCACGCACCTTGATGCTGATTTCCCTGATTCTGATGTCAGCAAAGATGAATACAGCGAGATGGAAGAAGCAAGACCAAATAAAAAATTTAAATGTAAACACTGCCTTAAAATTTTCAGATCAACAGCAGGTCTTCATCGCCATGTTAACATGTATCACAATCCAGAGAAGCCCTATGCTTGTGACATCTGCCACAAGAGATTCCACACCAATTTCAAAGTGTGGACGCACTGCCAGACACAACATGGAATTGTGAAGAATCCCTCACCAGCTTCCAGTTCACATGCCCTTTTGGATGAAAAATTCCAAAGAAAACTGATCGATATAGTGAGGGAGAGAGAAATCAAAAAAGCTCTGATTGTGAAACTGAGACGTGGCAAGCAGAGCTTTCAGGGCCAGTCGGCTTCCCAAGCACAACAAGTCATCAAAAGGAATTTAAGGTCGAGAACCAAAGGAGCCTATATTTGTACCTACTGTGGGAAAGCTTATCGTTTCCTCTCCCAGTTCAAACAGCACATAAAAATGCACCCTGGGGAGAAGCCCATTGGAGGGAATAAGGCTCCCAAGCAGAAAGATCACATTCATATTGAAAACCCTGTGGAAAACAAGGAGGTTTATCAGTGCCGTCTCTGCAATGCCAAGCTCTCCTCGCTGATTGAACAGGGAAACCACGAGCGACTCTGTAGGAACGCCACTGTCTGTCCTTACTGCAGCCTTAGGTTTTCTTCTCCAGAGCTGAAGCACGAGCATGAGAGCAAGTGTGAGTACAAGAAGCTGACTTGCCTTGAGTGCATGCGCACCTTCAAATCATCCTTCAGCATCTGGCGCCATCAGGTCGAAGTTCACAATCAGAACACAATGGCTCCATCAGAGAACTTCTCTTTGCCCCTCATGGATCACAATGGAGAAGTCACCAGTTCCTCACGGCTGCCTTTGCAGTCGGAATCCAATAAAATGAACAATTTTGTTGCTGCAAAGGAGGACGGCGTGTTCAGTGATTCGTCAGAACAAATCAATTTTGATTCTGAAGACTCTTCATGCCTGCCTGAAGACTTAAGTGTTTCCAAGCAGTTTAAAATCCAGATCAAAGAAGAGCCTGCAGATGACATAGAGGACGAGGTCACCGAAACGAGCAGGGAACCCAAGGACGTAGTCTCCAAGAAAGATCCCAGTTTGTGGCCCTGTGAGAAGTGTGGGAAGATTTTCACCTTGCGCAAGCAGTTGGAGCGGCACCAGGAGCTCCTGTGCTCGGTGAAGCCCTTCATCTGCCACGTGTGCAACAAGGCCTTCCGAACCAATTTCCGCCTCTGGAGCCACTTCCAGTCTCACATGTCCCAGGCTGCAGAGGAGTCCACAAACAAAGAGCCTGAGATATGTCCACCAGCCAATTCCCCATCACCCCCACCCTTACCCCCACCCCCTCCTCTGCCCAAAATCCAGCCTCTGGAGCCCGACAGCCCCACGGGCCTGCCGGAGAGCTCGGCTGCTACTGAGAAGCTGTTCGTGCCGCAGGAGTCGGACACGCTCTTCTACCATGCGCCGCCGCTCTCGGCCATCACCTTCAAGAGACAGTACATGTGCAAACTCTGCCACAGGACTTTCAAAACAGCTTTCAGCCTCTGGAGCCACGAACAGACACACAATTAGCTTTAAGAGAAGCCTTGCAGAGCTGGTTTTGGGGGGCTGTGTTCAGGATCTCAGAGGCCTGCCACATAGACGACAAATTTAAGAGGATCAAAAGGATGATGGTGATGGTGGAAAATCTGGAATTTGTGATGCTGCTTGGATTTGAAGATTAGGGAAAATTATAACTTGGTTAGTAGGTAGAAAGCAGAGTAATTTAAAATATTGTGGTCTGGGATCTAATAGTAAGAGAATAAATTTTATTTTATTTCATTTGACACTGAAATACAATTGCATCTGGATTGTATGCATGGATCTTCATCCCGTGATGTTGGTGTGTGCGTGTGTATTATATATAAAGTTACATATTAAATGAAAGAGAAACAACAATTTGGATTCTAACTGTGAGTGTGAAGGTTCTACTTATGGTAGTGAAATACTGTAACCAACGTCATAATTTGTTTTTCCAAAAGAAACCCACACACACAAGCTCCATGTAAGTGGTTGCCATGCACTGGCAGTTTGGGAGGAAGTGGATGGAGTGTCTTGCTGTATTGACTTAGGTCTTAGAAACCTTTAGCAATAACAAATAAACCTCAAGTTTGAGTAATCTTGATGTTATTGGATACAAATGTTTGCTATTTTAAGGGAACATAGAATTGTTGTTGTATGGAACTTGTGCAAATTAAAATAGAATCTAAAGTCAGCAATATTATTAAGATTTTATATAAGAAGTAGCAGCAAGTCTGCTTTCAGCCATTTAATTATAACTTTCTAAGGAAAATTGAGAGAGGGGTACTTTGCTTTATATAATGTCCCAAAGACTAATTTCCTACGGATACTTGGGTAGCTGAAGTCATTGTGTAACAGCCATCATAATGCAAATGGTACTGTTTATAACATGAACTGAGGTTGAATGGATGTCAGACAAGTTTCATAGTTTTGTTTCCACTATTTGTACAACTGTTTGTAATTTTAACTACAAAGGAATGTATAACTATTAAATCATCAAGAGAGAGCTCGTTAAGGGACAGAAGATGAGTTGTGTTTCTAAACACAAGTAACAAGCTCAGCCATGAAGTACAAAGATATGTTTTAACAAAACCTAAAAATGTAAATATTTATATAGACACCTGTATAAATGAAGAAATATGTATTTGAAATTTGTATTAAGCGTACATATCCAGCTCAAAGCAGAGGAGAAAATCACACTACAATCACTGCATTTTATGGATACAATGCATATAGAGTAGTTCTTTCTGCTGCTTTACTCATATGTGACTGTGTTGCAATTTTCCAATTTGTTGAAAATTGTGGTAATAATGGGCTGCAGATATTCTGTGTGCTTCCATTATTTTACCTCAAATGGCAACTGGAGCATTTAGTGTAAGTAGGATCACACATATTTACCAGGAGCTATAGTAAGGGTCCAATTTTTTCTGTAAGTCAAGGAAATATTTACCCAGAAGTAGGAGGTGAACCAACAGTGAGAAATTATTTTGCTAGAATTTTAACTTAGTGGAGGGGTGGTGGGTTGGAGTGAACATAAATGATGCAAACTGTGTTTATGATCCTGACCAACGTTCCCCCTGCAGGGCTGGGAGAAGGGGGATGTAATTCCAGCCTGCTGAGTCAGAGCCCAGTCTGTGTCCACTGAAACCAGCAGGAATTTGGTCACCATTTCAGGGGGAGCAGGAGTGAGGCTTGAATTCCCTGTGTAACCATGTGTGTTGTTTCAGTATCCCAAGTTCAAAAGCTAAAATTGCAAGCTGATGCTGAGATTCAGCAAAATCAAGCACAAGTGTAACTCCTAAGAATCTGAGGGTGGGCACCCTTAGGCACACACCAGATTTTTCTCAGTGAAAGCCAAGTGTGCCACCATTTTTTTTCCCAACAGATATTTAATTATTTTTCCTGTAAGTGAAGTTTGAAAGAATCAGCTCAGGATGGACCCCTGATTTTTTTCAGCTACCAAAAAAATTGCAATGTTATTTTCAAGCCTCTTCTGCTTCGTTTTTCTTATGATCTAAAATTGCTACTAGACACCTCTGAAAATAACATGTTGTTCTTTTTTGTCCTCTTTCAGGCAAACTGTGGCTGAGTTTGATTAGGCTGATTTGCTTGAGTATCAGTTAAACTCTTTCAGTGGCATTGCAGTTGAAACAAGGTACTTGCTTAATAGTGACATTTCCACTTACTGACTTTTTTATTCCACCTAATAAAACCATAAATTTCTTTCTTACCAGAAATGATTTCAGAATAAAATGGTTATTGCACTTAAACCTGGTTTTAAGAATCAGAAAAACATAAAGCCTTGCTAAGTACCCTTTATATATGTTTTAAAAAAAAATCTGTGTGTATAAAATATGAACGTGTTTTTGTAGAATGGTTCCTAAGTTTTCCCCAGTGATTCTTCTGCACAACAGCCTGAAAGTTGAGCTACAGCCTTTTAAAATTCAGTGTGCTTTCTGAAGGAAGGTGGCATCCAGCTCAGCTGGGTCACAGCCATCTCACTTCCAGCTGGGATTCTGCTCTGTGCTATGGTGATAAATTCTACACACTTTAAATCAAAACCTTGTGCAACATCTTTGAAGAAACCCTAACCTTTTCCTAGTGTACTAGGTATTATAAAGAATCCATTAAATATTTTTGGTCTAAGTAGCCTCCTAAGTTTTTCTTCAGTTGCTTTGGTTTTGAGGGGGTTTTTAAAATTTTGTTTTCCACTTTGAGCGTGTTCTGTGTGATTATTATTATTTTTTTTTTACATTTGGTTCCTGTTGTTTAGTAAAGGAATTCAGGATCTCTAAAATTTAAATATGAGATGTTTATATAGCAGTTCTGGTTTTCTATTAGCTTTTATACAGTATCTTAAAAAGCCCTTGATAGAAGTGTTTATTTTGGAGGATATGGAATAAATATGCTTCCACTTATATAACTTTAATATATGTCTTAAAATTTAAATTATGGGAAAAAATGTTAGTTGCTTGTTTATAAATAAAGGTCTTTTGAAGAGTGTCTAGTTTGGCCACAGCCAAAATAAAAGGCAAATTTATTGATGCAAAAGCCTGTTTTCATCATATTTTGTTTAATTTTATAGCTGTGTATTGAAGTGACAAAAAGTTAGAGGTCTTGTTAAATATAAAAAAAGTGTTTTGCTTTTTTTTCTAAAATTTGTGACAGGAACGTGCAGATGTTTTAATATATAGATTAGAATCTATAATTCTGTCCTTTTTTTGCTATTTTTATAACCTATCAGATAAATCTCAGAGAACTATCCTGCTTCAGTGGGAGTGAAAACTAGTGTTGCATTTCAGGGGAGCAGTGTTGAGCCATGAAATGTATTTTGGTTTGGGACTTTTTTTTCCTTTCAGGCACTGTGTTGGCAAAGCCTCTAAGCCTATCTTAAGTCCATAAAGATCAGTCTTATTTCGTTTTTTTTTTCTTAAATTGTTCTGTGCAAGTTCTTTGCTGAACTGGGACCATGACCAGCCTTGAAAGAGAGCAATGGCAGCAAAACACAGGAGCCAGTGACAGAGCTGTCTCTGGTTTTGGGTTGTTGGTGAGGGAGAGTGAAACACCCCTGGCAGGTGATGGAGGAGATAACCTGGTGGAGAGGGTGAGCCCAGAGTTGGTCTGGGCTGCTCCAAAAATGAGATGTTGCATTATCTGTGACCCCAAGCAGCTCTAAGAGACAAGGCAGGGACATCCAGGAGGTTTTGTTGCCTGATGTTCATTTTCCCCAAGTTGGACACGTGGGTTTGCTCCAGAGCTCTGCGTGCTCTCTGTTGCTGTTCCAAGCTTCCAGTGTTAAATTGAGTTCCTCCCATGGGATAAGGACAGACTATGCCTAATTTCTTGGCTCTAACAGTGAGGCTGCAAATATCTGGCATGAGCCTGTAATCTGGCATGTGCCTATACTGTTCAATAAAATTGTTTACATTTTCCTACCAGATTTAGGTAAAAATCAAAACAAGCTTAGGGGGTTGGTTTTTGTTGGAATTTTTTTATCTGTTTGTTTTGGTTGGGGTTTTTTTATTGTTGCTGTTATTGAATCAGTGTTAAAATATTTTTTTTTCTGTTGTTGCTGAACACAGCCTGATAGTATTTTTAATGTTATTGATTCTTGTTTATTTAAAATGACTTGTGAAAAACTGTACTGTAACTGCTCTACGAAAAGGGACACTATCAAGAGAAAGGCTGGATATAGAAAGGTAATATACCTATATTAGAAATACTTTATATTAATTAATAATATGGAAGAAATTTAAAAATTGAGTCATAACACTTGAGCTGCTTGGGCATGAAAATTCTATTATGGGCAGCCTCAGTTTTTGCGAGGATGTCTGAAAAATGTAACTGAATTCTGTGGGTTGAGCTGATTTTTCATGTTGCTTTTCCTCTCACTATTCCAGAATAAAGGACTCAGTCCTTTTTTTTCCTTTTCCAGACTCTCAGTGATACACATTATCTTTTAAAGACACAAGCTTCCCACTATTGCAGCAGCAGCTTTAATTCAGTTATGTACAGAAAAATCAGAACAAACCCTCTTTTACAGCGTGAAGTGCAAAATACACATAAAGTACATATTTTGAGGCTTATTCTTGACAGTGTCCTTTTTTAAAAAGCAGGAAAATGGGATCACTTTAAGTGCTTGGGTACAGGGGAATAGTTTCCTACTAGAAATTGGAATTATCCAATATATTTTCTAGAGAGTTTTCCGGTTAGTTACACAAAATCACTTGTCATTTTAAAGGATTATAGAAGTAAGACAAGCAACTCTGGGTTTATAATCCTGTATACCTTATACATTCTATATCTGTTCAATACACCAGGATGGGTTTTTACTTTTTTTAGGACTGAGACTTAATAGCTTAAGGCAATTTTTTCTTTAATGTAATGTAAATCCATTGCTGCTTTGTACAACTTTTTCTACTGTGTGGTTTCTTTACTTAGATCTTGACTAAGAAATGTTGACGTCCAATAAACTTACACTTTGTTTCTTTTGAGTTGCTGTGTCTTCTACTGGAATCTCTTGGCAGAGGGTGTTGTTATTGTACAAACCATTGTGTCTGCAGGGTAGGAAATGAGTTTGCAAGAGAGCATCTTTTGTTCTGTTTGTTGGATATAAGTGCTACTTGTACATTACTGAAATAATGGGGAGTTGTTTGTTTTAGTAAATGCCTCACTGAAGCTTTTACTGGAAAATACAGGAAAACCAACTGCTCCAGACAATCCCTTAAAAACTTGAGCACAGCCCAAATCTTGCTTCATGTGCAATCAGTGATTTGTGAGAGGAAGTGTCTCCATCTAAAACTGGACTGAACCAGATGTTTGAGAAGACACAGCAATATTTCTGGTTTTGCAGCACGCATCCAAAGCAGTTTTGCTGCATAAATGTCCCTTTTCAAAACCCTGTGTGGGTTCACAGGGGTCCCAGGAAAAGGGAAGAGACGAGGATCTGACTCCATGTGTTAGAAGGCTGGCTTATTATTTTATGATATATATTATATTAAAATTATATATAAAAACTATACTAAAAGAATAGAAGAAAGGATTTCATCAGAAGGCTAGCAAGCAAGAAGAAAGGAATGATAACAAAAGCTTGTGTCTGACTGAGAGTCCAAGACAGCTGGACTGTGATTGGCCATTGATTAAAAATAATCACATGAGACCAATCAGATCCACCTGCATTCCACAGCAGCAGATAATCATTGTTTACATTTTGTCTCTCACGCCTCTCAGCTTCTCAGGAGAAAAAGTCCTAAGGAAAGGATTTTTCAGAAGATATCATGGCTACAAAACCTTCTGTGTGGGAATGTAGTATGTGGATTCCCATAAAGCAGAGAATGAGCTTTTTACTTTTGGGAATGGGGTTTACTCAGTTCCTGTCTTCACAGTAGGTGTGACCTGTCTTTGAGAACACTTAGGCCAGTTTTCTCAACTTCTTGGACTCCACATCTGCTGGTTTTTGCAGTTTTTTCCACATTTTTGCCTTGTGCAGTGTGGTTGGACCCCCTGACAAATTTCACTCACATTTAACAGAGGGGACAATGTCTCAAGAATTAATGTCCCACAAGTTTCGTGCAAATCCCTGCCTGGGTGTCAAGGAATGGTGTCAGTGGGACACCACAAATCCAGTGGGAAGGGTAAGATTTGCACAGAGGATGTGCTGAGCACTCACCTGCACTTTTTACCCCAGCACTTGTCACTGTGTGTGTGCGCTGACCTCTGAGGGAGCAGGGCAGTGGCTCAGGTGGAACACAGGGCAGAGCTGCAGGACAGCTCTGCCAAAGGGTTGGGTCAGGGGTTAAAAGGGCACTCTGAGCTCAGGAGGATTTGGGCCTCTCCTTGAGAATGGGGACAAAGGGCTCGTGGTCTGTCCCTCTGTGGGGTATCCCTGCCCCTCACAGCTTAGGGGAGCTGTGGCAAAGAGAGGGTGGAGAGCTGCTCTCTGATCCACTCACAGTCTTAAATCCCCAAAGATGTGGCTCTCTTATTCTCCTTTCAGATCAGAACAACTCCACTCTTCCTGCATCCAGGTAATATTGACACACACTCCTCTCCATCACTGTTTCAGCACAGACTGACCTCTGCTAGAATGGTTTACAGAAAATGCTCCAGAGAACAAAAAGCCTGTGTTTGACATGTTTGACATAAAACTCAAGAAACAAATCAAAATTATTAAAAGTGACTGATAATGCCATGAGCATTGCACCTGTTTTTGTGGTTATTTTTGTTCCAATTCCAGCTGTCCCCTTCTAAGACAGTTGGTGTGCAAACAAATCCAGCAATATTTACTTTTCCATTGATAGGATACTTCCATCTATCATTCAATATACAGACACAGGAGCATCCTTACTATTAGACCAACAGGGATAATATTTATGTTTCCAGTCCTGAAATACTCTGGCAATAAAAAATTTCAAGGTGTTGGCTGTAACGAAGCAACGTACACAACTTTTATTTCCCTTTCATTTTGCATGTGTTGAAAAAGTACATTGAAAGTCAGTTTCTGCTGACAAATAATTTGCTTTAAATTGATAAACCCTTAACAATTTATTAATGTCTTGTCAGTCCAGGATCCAGGATGGATGGAGCTCTTCATTGTCATGGAGCTCTGGCTGTAGTCAGCAGCTTGAGCTGATAGTGGAGGGTTCAGGCTCTCACCCAGCCACGTGAATCTCCCCAGTGAAGCCCACTGGTGTCAAAAATCTGCTGGGATTACTGAGATCCAGGGATGCTTCTGCTGGAAGGAAAAACCCATGCTGGGGTTTGCAGGCTCTGCAGGCTGAAGGAACAAAGGACAACGAGGCAGAAGAAGAGATCAGAGAAAGTCTGGTGACAACAGCAGCAGAGTGTGAGATACAGAGGAGAGCACGCTGTGACTCTGCCAAAAAGAACAGCAAGAAAAACAAACAGCTTCTATTTCAAGGTGTCATTTGTGATTAATATGGCTCTTTTTGGTTCCCATTTATTCCCTTCTTCCCTAATGAATGAGGTGTTCCTGAGGTGTGACACCTCTAACCCTTTTTGGCTGACAGAAACTGCATTTATTACTCTTGTCATCCATTAATTTATCCTATAAAGTATATGAAACAGTTTATGGGAAAAAACCTACCCAAAAGATATTTAATATTTCCTCTACAGTCTTGCACCAGGGGAAGTTTTGGTGCTCTTGGAACTGTCTGAAGACTGCAGATCCTGAGGGCTTCCCCGGGTGTGACAGCTACAGCTGTGCAATATTTGCTGCTGCTGCTTCTTTACTCATCAATCATCTGAGCTGCCAAATGCCACAAGAAGAAAACTTTGCCATGTTAACTCACATTCAGGTTATTTGTTTCAGGAGAAATTTGACAGAGGTCTGTAAAGGCATGTAAATTTTTCAAAAGCATGAGGAAAAAAACCTGTAAAAATACCAAATTCTAAGTCTGGAGGAGATTCACGGATACTAAAATGAGATATGAAATTGGGTGTATTTTTTACCAAATATTTACTACAATGCTTAAGAGAGAAAGAATCACATAGACTCTTTGTTTCATGGAGATGATCCTATAATCTATTCTGTGCCTCTAATGCTGTGTGCAGGCATCAAGGAGGAGACAGAAACAAAAGACTGCACCATCACACTCAAAAGCATCACACTGAAGGTGAAGCCCTCTCCTCATATATGCAAAGGTCCTTGGATTTTCTTACCTGAACTGGAGCATTTTCACTGTTCCTCTGGAGGAAGGCCTTATTAGGAATATAGGAAGCCTGTTGGTTTCCTACAAAATTCCTTTTTGTGGTGCTGCTCGCAGTCTAAAACGTGAAGAGTCTTTTGCTACTTACCAAGTCCTTTCTGATGAGCCACATTCCCAAAGCCAGCTGGTCTCAGTGTCCTCAGGCATTTATTTGTCTGAAGGGTTCAGAGGCGCTCACTCCTGGCGAGTCCCAGCATCAGCACCTCTGGGGATCCTGGCGCTCTCTGGTGGAGAGAAAAGAACCGGATCCAGCACTGAAAATAAAGGGAAAAAAAAAAAAAAAAAAAAAAAAAAAAAAAAAAAAAAAAGGCAGCTTGACGTGCTTTAGTTTCTAAAAACTCATGGTATTTCACTGAAGTTTTGGTCAATATATTTTTGAAGAGTCATCGTCATAGAAAAAATAATAGTCCCAAAAATTATTTTCCTTTTTTCCATTGCAGTGCCAGGTACAGTCCAAGTAAAATGTCTGTTGTTAGCCTTTGTCCCTTTTGCAAAATTGTGAGCGCTCTGGAATAGATTAAGTACCAGATATGGAATCATAGAATGGTTTGGGTTGGAAGGGACTTAAAAATCATCCAGTGCTCCCCCTGCCATGGCAGGGACACCTTCCACTGTCCCAGGCTGCTCCCGGCCCCAATGTCCAACAATTTCAGGGATCCAGGGGCAGCCACTGCCAGGACCTCCTCACCCTCACAGGGAAGAATTTATTCCTAAAATCTAATCTAAACCAGTCTGCTGTCTTTCAGTTTGAAGCCAGATTTTGAGAAAGGTAAAAGTGTGATCCTACAGGGAAAAGCAAAATTGTTATAATAATGACACCTCTAAATTATGACACTTATAAAATTAGTACCCACTAATTACTAATTTACCCTGTGGTAAACAGGTAGGCCATGGTGGGTGGTAACCGGTAGGCCATGGTTAATGCAAACATCATGGGGCTATTATTTGTTTTCACACATTATTTTTCCTTGTGTTCTGGTTTTGGGTTAAACCATGACCCCATGAGAGGCTGAATTATTGGTGCATGAAGGGCTTCAAAAGCAAGTAGAAGTATCCAGGGTGAACCAACTTGGGTCAATTCAAATAGAATTGAAACCTGGCTCTGCAGCTTTACTTTACTTTATATCTTAATACATAATTCAAAATTATGATTGGTCAAAATAAAACATTGTGACCCATCTGCTCTGAAACTTAGCCAATTTGTCAACAATTACATTCATAGTTGTAAATACAGTCATTTTTTCAAGACATATTTAGGACCAGACCTGTATTTTAATAACAAAGCCAATTTCTGATCTGATGAAACGCTCAGCTCCTGGCAGTGTGTCTCCTTAAGCAATTAAGAGATGCAGGCATTTGGGCAAAGAAAACGAAATGACCGTAAATGAATTGCACTTTTCCTGCTATGAGGTCATGGTGGACACATTGCTTTTTCTTCTACAAAGATTTGTGTTTGGACAGATAGATGTCTCCTGATTTTGCAAATGAACTGAAAATAAGAGCAGTTAGGTGGAGGTCCAATGATGTCATCACGTCTGAGCATTTTTATACAGAGCAAGACTCCTTCATTAAGAAGAGGATGTTCTCTGGAAGACATGAGTTTGGAGGGTTATTCCAGATCAAGAATCAGATGTGTCCCAGCCTCCTCATCCCCACACTAGCTCCAACTTATGGAAGTTTGCTTGGTGGCACATCCCTGTGCCAGGTGTGGGGGTTTCAGCTGTTGGTTTTTCTGGGTTTGGATTGAAGGCACTTAAAACAGTAATTCATGTTTGGACTCAGGTGTTGATTATTTCTTATCAGTAAAACAGTCTCACTACTGTGAGTTCTGCAGCTTTTCATTAGAAGGCACAAAATGGCCAACAATCTCTTGGTACAAGGTCTTTTCAGACTAAACTATCCAATGAAGAACTGACACCTGGATTATTTTCCCTTTTAACCCAATAACTGATCCCAAAGAGCTGCAATGGGGACTTTTCTGCCCAATTACAAAATGCCACCCAAACCCATGGAGAAGGAGGAGGAAGAAGCATGAAGAAGAAACCCAGGATGACACCCTGTACCCTCCATCTTGCTTCCATCCACAACATACTAAAAACCCCAAAACCTCAATTTCTCACCAAGTGATACACCTACACTGCTCTCTATAATCTATTTCACACTTTTGTGGATTCCAGTCTATCTTGAAGTCTAGGAAACTTTCTCCATGAATGAGGGTCAGAGTCAGTGCTGCCCTGGGGGTCAGGGCACCCCAGAGCAGACAGAGAAATATTCCCTGTGCCCTGGGTTTCCACAGCCAGGCTGCTGAGCACCTTCCAAAGAGGCTTCTGGCCATCCCACCTGGCCCTTACTCCACATCCACATCTTTGCACACTCATCACCCTCCTCCTCAGACAGCTGTTGAAAATACTCACAATGGTGACTCAGATGGATGAGATGTGTCCCATGGGTTGAGCGTCACCTAGAAAGGGGCTACAGAAAACAAATTGGAGAGTCCACATGAGGGCAGGACAACCTTGGGGACCAGTGTTCTGGCTTTGTGCCTCTTCTGGCCCCACAACTCTTGAGCAAACCTGCCATGGCCAGCAGGAAGAAGGACAGGGCTGTTACCTGTCTCTGGGAGAAAGGCTGAAATGCTGCATGTGAAAGGGGAAGTGGTCCCCTCTTCCAGGAGGGGACATGCTGAGGGATCACATTTCAGGAATGAAGATTTCCAGGTCAGTGAACAGTAGGCAGTGGTTCCACCACAGGCTGAGGCTATAAAATCTCAATAAAGAGATATAGCCACCTTGCAGGTAAAGGTGGCATCACACATGCTGCAAAAAGCTCTTCTGGCCAAAGTGCAGTTTTGACAAACTAAGCATATTTTACACTGTTGCACTCTCCAGACAAAGCAGTAGTATCAAACCTCATGTTAGACTGCATGAATGGCCTCTTATGAACCTTTCATATAGAAAACAGACTCTGGAGCACTGAGACAATCAGTGGGAAAAGTTTGTATTGATTTTATCTCTTTGCAATATGTTTGTTTTTGTATTTATTTTAATTTCAGGGACTGAATATACTTTTTTTTGTAAATTGTTGTGTTCACAGCTTTAAAAATGAAATTTATTAAATAACTATGATTAAATTAAATAACTATGAATAACTATAAGCATTGATGCTTATTTCTGTAACATGGCACTTGGGGTAATCTCAGACCCAACACTTTCCAGTGCTGGAGTGGTCAGGGAGGCAGGGCTGATCTGAGGCATTTGAAGGTCTCTTCCAACCTTGATGAATCCAGGACTTGGGAATTGCCCCGGGCCAGGTGCAGCACCTGGGCCTCGGCCTTGTTGAACCTTGTGAGGTTCTTGTGGTCCCACTTGTCAAGCTTGTCCAGGTCCCTGTGCAAGGCCTTGTCCTTCCATGGTGTCCCTGCCCTGCTCAGCTTCCTGTCCCATGTAAATCTGCTGAGGCTGAGCTGGATCTGCTGTCTGTGTCATTAGGGAAGCCATGCAAGAGCCCTGGGGCCAAGGCAGAGCCCTGAGGGACACCCCTCATCCCCAGCCCCTTGCCCAGCTGGTCAGAAGAGCAAGCCCTCAGCACTTGGTGGGGCAATGGGTGTGTCAGAGACTGAGGATGAGCAGGAATCTGATGTGGATCATGAGCTTTCCCAATGGGAAGATGTTAGGAGCTACCAAGAGATCTCTGATGGGAAGAGTCTCTTGAGAGAGAGCTCTCCCAAGGAGATGTCAGTAGCTGTGGAGAGCTCTCCAGCTGGGATGAGGAGAGCAGGAGCTGTCCCAGGGAGAAACCCTCAGCTACCAAGAATTTTCCATGGGGAAGAATGCAAGGAGCAGGGGCTGTCCCAAGGAGCTGTCAGAAGCTCCCCACAACTGTCTGACTGGGAGGACTCTGTTGGCCAAGAGCTTTCCAAAGAGGAAGACTCCGCTGGCCAGGAGTTGTTCCAAGGCAATGGTAGCAGATCCTGTGTGCAATCCAGTTGGGACAATGATGATGACAAAGAGCTTGCTCAGGACAACCGAGAAACATGAGCGTCCACAACAATGGGGTCAAGCCCTTGCTGTGGGAGAAGGATGTGACACAAACTGAGCTTCTTTGAGCTGTGTGGAGAAGAAGACAGGGAGCAAAGACTGGGAATTTTCGCAGCAGATGGGCTCCCAGT